TATCTCGTGTTTTTTGATCATTTCATTTGAAATGACTCGTTCTTCTTCTTTCTTTTTTGTTTGAAGTTCTTTAATAGTTTCTTCTATTTCTTTAATTTTATTTTGAAGTGTGTTAATTTCTTATTTGTTATATTCTTCTTCATTTTTCTCTTCTTTATCTTGTGTTTTCCATTTATTTTCTTTTTCATTTATTATTCTTGCAGTTTTACATCTATCATTCATTTCTTTGTTTCGATTTTTGTTTTTGATTTCTTCTTCGATTCTTTTAATATCTTCACTTATCCAATCTTTTGTTTTATCTTTGATTTCTTCTTTGTTTTTCTTTATTATTTTCTTCTTTATTATTGAATATAATTCTTGGAGAATATTATACATTTCTTTACCTTCATATTTTTAAGTATTTCTGATTATTCTCCTTCCTCCCATTTTCTTGTTATTCTTTTAATTTTCTTTTGAATTTCTTTTGTTGTCAATCATTTAGGTTTCTTGTTTGTATAATGTTTATTATCATTATATTTACTTTCTTTCTTATTTGTTTTTATTTGTATTCTTCTTTTTCTATTCACTTTTTTCTTGTTATTTCTTTTATCATAATTATTATTCATTTTATTGTTATTTCATTCATTCTTTTCTTTGAACTTGAATATCTGTTTCTTGTTTGATTTTCTTTACAAGACTCTATGGTATTACTCAATAACCATGGCAACAAAATTTAATGTATATTCTACATTGTTAAAAGGATCTAAAAACGAAAAAAATAAATTAATAAAAAATAATACTAAAAAACTATCAAATACCTCTTGTTATGAAAAATAATCCATTAAGAGAATCTGTTGGATTCATTTCTGTTTGTTTTCCTTTTTTTGTTCTTAAGAGGTATTAATTGAAATTCGGCATGGGACATTTACATTTAGGGAATAAATACAATTTTTATTCTTGGTGGAATAATTTTAGAAATGAATAAAGGAATAATAGAAACACCAAAATATTACTCAGTGATGGTCTCGTTATTTTTTTGGGCAGTAGTAACAGTCCTTTGTTTTTATGATGTTCAAGAGTCTTTTCTACCGTCAAAGATATCTTTTTTTCTCAACCAGCCATATCATTTTAGTTACTTTTCTACATTAATTGGTGTCTTGTCATTTGTTGTGTTTTTTGTTTCAGTTGTCAGCTTATTTTGTATGACTGATGAATTTACTCATAGCCTTAGGGTTCGAACTGAAGAGCAAGTTTGTGCGATATTCATTTATCATATTTTTTTAAAACAAGTGCCTAATCTTTTATAGAACCATTGTTGTGTTTTTGTTAATGACAAACCATTTTCCGATTGTGGGTGTTATAAGTATGAAGGAAAATTGGAACGAACAATTGGATTTTTGAATAGAATAAAAAATGGAAAAAACCAAATTGTCCATTGTTCAAAGTGTCGACTAACTTCATATAAATTTGTTTATTTGATTAGCCAATCTGTAAATATTATAGGTTCAGTCTTAATAGTCTTATTGTCATATCTCCATTATTCAATAGAAAAAGAATGGTTTAGTTTATCTGAAGATGAAAGAATTCAATTGGATGAAACTAAATTTGTTGATGATAAAATTTCCTTTATTAAACAACTTCTATTAAAACCAAAACAAAAAAATGAATAACACTAATTTATTTTTTTTTGTATTTGTGTATAATTTTGTTGGAAACTTCCAAATAATAAAAACTTCACTCTCATTAAGGATCTCTTTACTTAAATATATCTAGATGGACCAATTAATTATAAAATCTAAATTTAAAATATTCTATTTCTATAATTAATTTAATTTATTTTTATCAGCATTTAATTACAATAAATAATCAGGAAAAATAGTCTAATTTTTTTTCGATTTTTCTATATTAAAAATTTAAATAAATAATAAACAAAACCAAAAATGAATAATAAAAAGAATATTCCACAATAAAGAAAATAAATTAAAAAGAGGGAAAAAAATATGGAATAATGTGAGAAGATTAAAATTCCAATCTCAAATCATTAAATGGATAATCCAATCTTTGTCTCAACACAACAAGAACCAGTAGAAATGAATGCGTATTGCTGTTGCATCATTTGTCAAAAGAAAAGTATGTTTCTTGTTCAAAACCCTAAAATTAAAACAACACGATTTGTTGTGTTAATTCTTACTTCATTAAAAGTCCTAAAACCGGGGGTAGAGTATTATTCATTAACAAAAGATATTCTTCCTTTTGTAAAAGATCATATGCCTTTATTTACTAATTTAAAAATATTTAAAACAGGTAAATGGAGAAAGTCTATACTTGATGCTTTAAATCATTCTCTTGAAGTTGAATCTGGTAGAGAAGTTTGTAAAAATAGAGGGTTTTACAAATTAAAAAGTGAAATTAAAAAATCAACTGGTTCTACTGAATTTTTTATTTCAAAACAACATTTATATGACCAATTAGATTTATTGTCAAATCAAATTATTTGTTCAGTCAAACTACTCTCAAAATGGAATAAATTATTAAACACTTCTTTTCCTCAACAACTAGCTCTATCAGAAGATTTGCTAATAGCACATAACTCACTTTGTTCATCAATACAAAGTTTGAATGATGTAAAGAATTCCTTCTGTAAATAAATTACATTGTTATTTATTATTTATGTTTTTATTTAATTAAAAAAAATAGAAATAACAAAATTTTAATCAAAAAAGTGAATTTATTGTTTATTCCAAGAGGGAAGTGACAACATCAAGGAATTTGCCAAATTCCACTGGATTAAATGGTTTCATTGGACCATAATATGGGTTCATGAAGATCATTTGATAAGCAGATCTTGATTGTGCAGCAAAAGCACAAATAGCAATCCAGCAATTAATATCACAGAAAGCCATACCACGAGCGAAAAGTCTATGTAATAACATAGCAGTTCTTTGGTTAATATAGAATCCAAGTTGTTGAAGAGCTGGTAAAATTTCATGTGGTTCTAAAGTTCCACTTCTGTTTCTGTCATTCATGACAAAGAGGTTGTAAGCTAATTCCATGAATTTGTACATAGCCATAAATTCATAGAATGAGATATGTCCATTGAAATCAGTATCAAAGATTCTCATCATTCTGAGAGCAGTTTGTGGAGATAATCTAATTCCTCCTGGGAATTGACCCATCATTAATTCATTAATTTCAAGAGTTCCTGATCTATCTCTATCAACTCCCATAAACCATTGATAAATTCGAGTGTATTGGTCTAATGGGATTGTGTTAATTAATGGGAACCACCAAGTATTTCTAATTGATGGTGGCATTTGATAAATACAAGCAGCACCCATCCAAGATCCTTGGACTGGTTGAAGGTTCCATAAACAGAAATTAGCTACACGTGGTTGCATTGGTGGATATCCGAATTGCATTTTGAGTTTTTCTAACTTTCAAGTTCTCTTTTATATTAAATCTTTTTTTCTATTCATCACATGGATCTTTTTACCCCAATTATCCCGACTATATTCATTTTTTTAATTTACTCTTTACTCAAAGAGACATTGGATCTTTCAACTCTCTATTTTAGAGTTCTTTTTTTTGAAGTGAAACTCATATTTATTCTTGGTTTACACTTCTTGAATGAAGAATTCTATGGAGTTTTTAACAAACCATTATTAGTTTTTTATTATTTTTTCTCATTTTTAATTTTAAATTTTAATAATATTTTTATTATTATTTTATCATTAATTGAATGTGTTAAACACTCATTTTTTTTAAATTATTATTTTAAATTTTTTTTATTATAATAACTTTTTAAAATAAGAAGTTTATTTCCATAACTGTCTCTTTTATTGATTTTTCCTTTTAAATAATTTAAAAATGATTTATTCTTTTTCTTATTACTGTTACAAACATTGAAATTTGTTTGAATTATTTTTTAAATACTCAATATATCTTTACCTCTTTTTTTTTTAAATAGATAATCGCATTTTTCTCATTATTTGTATTTGTTGTTTGGAATTATAAATAATCCTTTATCACTTAAAATAATTAAATTTCCATAAAACAACTTGTTTTTGAACAGTTAACCTTAATTTTTTCTATCAACTAATCATTGTTTTGTTGATAATACAAACACACTAACAACTCTTTTTATTTTATTCAGGTATCACGATATGTTACAAAAAAATTTTTAACAAATAAACAAAATAATCTTATACTTGAATTGATGAATTTGGCTGATATAATAAATGGTTGTGTGTCCATAACTAAAGTGATTCAAAAGTTGATATACAGTTTAAATAAAATAAATAATTAAAAAGTAGATAATTAAGTATTAATAGAAATATTGTCTATTGTTCCTTGCTCAGGGGAGACTACTAATCCCATCCCTTCGCTTTAAATGTATTTGTTCTTCAACTTTTGGCTTATTCTTTGCTTTTAGTTGTTAAACTGTGAGATTTTCCTTTTCTCATTTTTGATGTGGAATAGAGTATTTTAGACATCAATTATTTAAATATTCATTATTTAATTTCTTTTTAATTTTGATGCGTTTAAATTCTTCTTCTTTATTTTCTTAATTTAAGGAGAATATATAACTAATACTGTATTACTATTGGCTAATATTCTTTTTAGAATCAACCATCAAACCCTTTTTCTTTATTAATCTTATATTATCATTTATACTTGTATCATAACAAGTAATAATAACATCTTTATAAATACCCATTCGTTTATTATCAATGATATCTGTCATTGTAATTAATAAACAATGTTATTCTTGAAGTATTGATTATGATGTTTTTCAACTAA